CACCATGCCCACTGACTCCACCACCTCCCTGGGCAGCCTGTGCCACTGCAGCACCACTCTTTCTGAGCAGAAATGTTTCTAATATCTGACCTGAAGACAATGAAATTACGAGATAGGACTTTTTGCTTTGTTGCAACGAGCAGTGGGTGCAGCTGTAGACGGGAAACAAAGGGAGGAAACCTATTTTTGAAAATATGGCCAATAATAGAGGGAAAGCTGAAATGAATAAATAGTTTGGAAGATAACCCAGCAAAGATCACCGAGGTAGAAAAAAGTTTTATCTTGGGCTTAGAGATTAGAAGGTCTATATATCTGTCTTAAAAGTCACTCACGTGATTTAGTTGCAGGGTGAAATACTGTGCTCAAGTCAGTGTACAAACTTTCATAGAAGTTGTGAATATGTGAAACTTATGGAAAATGTGCTCAATGGGAAGGAGAAGCAGGGGGAACAGGAGTGACTGTAATCGCCTGGGAAAAGTTGAACAGAAAAAGTCACTGGGAAGTTACTGTTGCGTGAAACTATCTACAGTCCTCGAAGGATTAATTTCAAAATGCCTGGGGGATGAGCTCTCCCAGAGAGCTCTGTTTCTGTGTTTCAGAAGAGTGCTGTGTTTCACCTGTGAGCTCAGGCAGGGAGGGAAGGCAGGATGGATCACTGCGTGCGCTGTGCTTTTATCTTCTTCCCCAGGTGGCAGCTGCTGTGAGACAGAGCTGAGCTGGAGGGACCTTAAATCCCACCTTGCTGTTGTTGCAGTGGGTTTCTCCAGCCTGTTGCGTCTCCGTCTGAATTAAGTAATAAATCCCCAGGCTTTTTTGGTTCCCTGAATTGGCAGGTAGAGGACCTTCGAAAAGATGGAAATGGAGGGTTTGGGACTGACACAGCTTGAGTGGTGATGGTTGTTCATGCTGTCCCCAAAATGTGTCTTGCACCTTTACGTACTTCACCCCTGGCAGTAGCATTTGGGAAAACATACACTTACATAGTCTTTAGTTCTCCAGCCTTTGTAGCAAAGAACACTATGAAAAGCAGAGTGTGAGATTTGGAAAAGAGTTTTATGTCCACAAGACCTAGGGACCCATAGCTGACTATTTGTGGTGGGTAAGCAAAATGGTTAACTGAATGTGTCTCTAGATTTCCTACCTTCAAAGTGTGCAAGAAAGGTCTGCAGGTCTCTTCAAGCTGTATTTTTTTCCAGTTTGTTGGTACACTGGGAGACAACAGTGCACTGTTTAACCTCGTACCTATTTCTGGGAAGTTACACCAAAATAGGAGCTGGGAGTAAAAGCTCTTTGAGAAGTGCGTATTTGATTCTGGGAAAGAAATCTGCAGTTGGGTTTGAATTTCACAGGAGAGGCTGCTGCCACTGGTACCACAAAACGAGGATCTGGAACGTAGAGAGGAGAGAGGGTGGCTGCTTCCCAGGATTTCCTGAATTTCATTCTTTGCCTGTAATTAATTACAGTAATATTATGAAATTCTAGTCTTTGTAGCGGCTTTATCAAAACTCCTACCAATTCCCAGCACAGTGGAACTTTTCTTATGAATTTAACCTCTGTATTTTTCTCTGTGAGTGGGAACCTCTGATGCTTGCCAGTTTTCATCCCTCTGGTGATTTTGCGAAGTGTAATCATTGTAAAATGCAATTGCTTAATATGTAGCTCATTCACTAAAACCCCAAGGATGAGAGGCAGTGAGTAATGTGAGTCATTACCGGAGCAATAGTTTCTAAAGAGATGAAGAGTCATGCATCACGTATCAATCAATTTAGACTTCAATTAAGAATTTATAAAAATCACTGGTCAGATGTGATCAATATTGTTCCCAGGCAAATTAAAGTAGCTTCCCTGGAGTCGTGCGCTGCTTCTGATGTTTCTCTCAGGCAGTATTAGAAGCGCTGAATGGTTGCATGCTCCCTTCTGCTCTGTGTATTGAGATACCTGTACAGCAGTAGCTCTCCCAAGCATTTTCAGTTAGCCATCCAGCCACTTTGGCTGTGTTTGTACTGAGCCATAAGAGCTGGAGTAGATTGCTTTTCCTTCTTCTTCCACTGAAGAACTTTTTGGTGCAAGGACAGAATTTGACTGATCAATGTGCTGCAGATGACTGCAGTGTTAAGACTTCCATCATCATTCTGAGAGGGTAGTGGGTGGTTTAATGGGTGATATAAGCCAACATTTTATTTTTTTACATGCTTTGAGATGTCTGAGAGCCTAAACTAGCTTGGTGCTACAGCATAGTATGGGCATCAAAGTTTAACACAGGAAAAATGATGTATACACGTTGATAAATTATTAATTATGTTTTGTTTCCAGGTTTTCGTGTAAGAATAAAAACTATATGCTTCCTGAATTGCAATGGGAAAAACAAAATACTAAAAAGAGGGCATGTGCTGTTGATTGTATGGGTACTAGTGTAGCTCCATTAATGGAACAGGGATTGGACTGCAATACATGAATTGGGGATAATAGTACTATTTCAGCTATAATACTTTAAGAGGTGTTCTACTAGGTGTCAGTGATAGTGTTAGGAATATGAGATAACATGAAATAAATGAGTCTATGACCTGGCTAATGGACTACATTTTTAAGATGGTGTACTGTAGAGAAAGCTTTAGAAGGGTCTGTTGTGGTAGGACAAGGGGAAATGGTTTCAAACTTTTAGAGTGGAGATTTACATAAGGATAAGGATATAAGGAAGATGTTTTTTTCAGTAAGTGCGGTGAGGCACTGGCAGAGGTTGCACGGAGAGGTGGTGGATACCTCAGCCCTAGAGACACTCAAGGCCAGGCTGGAGGGGCTCTGAGAACCTGATCTAGCTGTGGGTGTCCCTGTTCATTGCAGGGGCGTTGGACAAGATGGCCTTTTAGAGTCCTTTCCAACTCAAATCACAGAATCACAGAATGGTCAGGGTCATAAGGGACCTCAAGGATTATGAATCTCAAGGATCATGAATCTCCAACCCCCCTGCCACAGGCAGGACCACCAACCTCCCCATTTAATACTAAACCAGGCTGCCCAGGGCCCCATCCAACCTGACCTTGAACACTTCCAGGGATGGGGCACTCACAACCTCTCTGGGCAGCCTGATGATTCTATGAACTTGTACTTAAAGAACACACATTTTACTGTGACTTGGTTTGTTTTAAAATAGGGAAAATATAGTCCATAAGAACTTCTACTGTGTGAGTTCCTCATCTGATAGTATTCCAGGAAATGTAGCAGCAGACCATGGATGGAGTAAAATTAGGATGCTACATTTCAGGAAAGCTAACTTCCAGTTCTTTAAGGAGTTAGTCAACAAAGAGGGTGAGGGAGGTGATCCTGCCCCTCTACTCTGCACTGATGAGGCCTCATCTGGACAGCTGCATTCAGGTGTGGAGTTCTCAGTACAGGAGAAATCCTGTTAGAGTACATGGAGTACTCAGTACCTGTTAAAGGGTGTCCAGAGGAGGGCCACAAAAATGATCCAAGGGATGGAACAACTCTCCTATGAAGGAGGATCTCCAGGACAGGCTGAGAGAAGTGGGGCTGTTCAGCCTGGAGAAGAGAAGGCTGCAAGGTGACCTGAGAGCAGCCTTTCAGTGTCTAAAGGGGAGCTACAGGAAAGAAGGGGACGGACTCTTTAGCAGGGTCTGTGGTGACAGAACCACAGGAAATGTCTTCAAGCTTAAAGAGGGGAGATTTAAGTTAGACATAGGGAAACAGTCTTTTACAGTGAGAGTGGTGTGGCGCTGGAATGGGTTGTCCAGAGATGTGGTTGATGCCCCATCCCTGGAGACTTTCAAGGCAAGGATGGACCAGGCTCTGAGCTACCTGATCTAGCTGTGCGTGTCCCTGCTTCTTGCAGGGAAGCTGGACTAGAGGACTTTAAAAGGTCTCTTCCAACTCTAAAGATTCTATGATTCCCTAGGAAGGATGTCTTTTTCTCAGTGTCTAACTTGTACTCGTTCCTGTGGAAAGCTGATAAGTTTGCACCAGTTTGAACAGGCGTAGAACTGTTCTGATTGAATGAATGCCTAGTTGTGCAAGAAATAATCTGAGTCTTAAACTGATTTGTATATTTTCTAACCTAAAAAGTTATATATTGGTAAGCAGATGTGAAACTTTAATGTTATCTAGCAGATACAAATCTCCACTGTAGCTTTCTCTGGTTTAAGGATAGTCTTTTGTGTTTTATTTCAGTTGGTCTCTAGGAGGTTTGCTATTCTATATATGACTCTATGGGTTTCATGTTGATTTATGGTTTTAATAATAGACAAATACTGTCCCAAATAAGATGATTTGATTGTGGTGAGGCAAACACTGCTGTGTGAATATTTCTCATTAAGATCATGTTTCTAGCAATTTGGATGGGGTAATTCCTTACTGATATAAGCTCGATCAACATAAAGTAGGATTAAAACAATCAGTGGGAATCCTTTCACGGAGAAGAGTGTTTATTATCATCTTACTTAAATAGAACCAGTGTTGTGCCTGACTTGGACATACTGGCTTAAAATCCATTTGCAATGGTGTAGTTTGTCTTAATTATTTAGACAGGTGCAAGCCAAGTAGATACAACCAATATGTTAACCTCCCACAAAGCAGTTCATGTATACATTGCAGTGGAATAATTAGTTCTAATTTTGAACCAGCCCAAACAAGCCTCAAGTTTCCAAAACAGAGTTTCTCTTGGTGTCAGTAAACACTTTGGTTTAGCAAACAGAAGTTACTCAGTATAACCAGTGAGTTGCATTCTCTTAGTGATACAGCCTGGCCCACAGCTTAGTTCTGAATCTCATGATGTTGATCCTTCAGAAACCAGCCCAATGCTCTTTCAAATTCCAAGGCTGTTCTGGGTTGTCTCAGGGCAGGGAGCCTAGTACCAGGTCCTTCAGGGTCTGATTTACCCTCAGGACAGGTTTGGATGGGCTCAGGAAAATGACGGAGTGTGGAGTCGCCATCCCTGGAGGTGTTCAGAAAACGTATGGATGTGGCACTGAGTGACATGGTTAGTGGGCATGGTGGGGACAGGCTGACAGTAGGACTAGATGATCTTAGTGATCTTTCCAACCTTGATGATTCTATGATACTAAATGTTGTCTGTGTGCATTGGGATGTGCATGGTGGCCAGCTTGGGTCAGCAGCTCCGGCATTCCAGGAAGGACGGAGCCGCAGCAGATACCCCACTTACGTGTGGAGTTCTTTTAGCTGAAGGCAAGTTCTTTTCTGTTTCTCAGGAAGTGATAGAAATGCTTTGTCAGTCTGTCTGAACCTCACTGCTGCTCACTGACTTGCCCTGCTTCAGGCTACCAAATATTTGGGCTCATCGGGACGGAGTTTCATGACCTTTTCCACGCAGAGAAGAATGAGAGTCAGAAACCAGAGGCTCCAGCCAACAGCTGCTGCAATCCATCCGTAATCATCCACACCAGTTGGACAGCACACTGCTGCTAGTGTACAGAAGTCTACCTCTGGAGGAGAAGAAATGAAGTGAGCTGATGGGAGGCTAAGTACAAAGCAGGTTTTCTTTGCTAGAAGGTAGGTGAGATGCTGACATCACAGTCTGCTCCATGGCCTGTCACTCTACCTTTGGGCATTTTTCCCCTAAGCTTGGTTCTTAACCTCAAAGGTGGCAATATTAAGTTTCATCTATGTGTTTTCAAGACTTAGTCAGTCCCAGCTGGCCAAACACGTGAGCTGGTCCCCTTACCACTGCACCCTCCATTGCTGAAATCTTTCAGAATACCTAGTTAGCATCTGCCATATGTTTTCCATCACAAGGGTAGAGTGATGATACCTGGCTGGGTTCTGAGGCAGGAATATCAAAAGGAACCTAGGGGACCAAAATGTCCCTCAGCTCCTTGGGCTGAGATGGAAACTGAGCATGAAACCTCAGAGCCCAGGAGAGCTGGAGCAGCCAGAACTGCCTTACAGCTACATGCACTGCATGTTGCAATGCTAATGCATATCTGCTTGTCTGCTGTGGAAAGCAAATGCCTCCTGATCTTGGTACAGGGAAGCTGTCCTCTTGTATGTTGAGAAGAAAAGGCAAGAGCAGATGTTCCTCAGTTGCTCTCATTCAAGTGCATCATGCTGGACCATATTCTTGTGCATTGGCCTTCAGAGTGTGCAGTACCGTTGCCCTGTGCTGTAGAGAACAGCTTTTCCCACCAGTAAACAAATTGCTCAGAGAGGGGAGAGGGACACTCGTCTCCTATACATACGTCATCCTTTGAAGTAGCATATCTCTATTGGTACATGTACTGCAATTCAGGAAGTGCAGGACTTTGGGCTGTTTCATGTTCAGGATGGAGAAAAACTGTGAGAGGGTGGGATCTCAGGTTGCCTAAGCCTGACTGACTGGGGGAGTCTTGGAAATGCTTCCTAGAGTTTTACCTGCAACTGAAGGCTTGATAACACCAGATTATAACAGACAAACTGTTCTCCAGGAGAGCCTCTCCAGTGAACTGTATAGTCTCCTTACCTGGCTTTATCATGGTAGTAACGATTTATGAAGACTTACTAAGACATGGCGGTTCATACTCGACTGTGTGCATGGTGCTTGTTGATATGTTGGAGACTCCAGCTGCTGTCAGAAGCAAAGCACAGGAGGAAAGCAGAGCTCATTAACCAGCTCAGGCTGGAAAAATACAACATGCAGATATAGGTAAAGAAAGGAGAGGGGCTTCAGCGAAGATTTTGCCTCTTTAACCTGCTTCCTACCTAGAATCAGAGCACACTGACACTTCAGTGCAGAGCTGCCTCTGGTCTGCAGCCCTCCAAATCTGTACACAGCGTCACAGGGCAAAGCCTTCTCAGGCCTTCCACTTTCCCCCAGCCACAATGCAGACCTCAGAGTGCTGCAGGATGGCATTCAGGGATGGCTGAGGGAGTGCCCATGTGGGAGAAGCATAGGCTGCTGCAGGCTCTGTGCACGAGCACCAAGCCACTGCAGAAGGAAGGGAGTCTAGGAAATATCTCCTCCTGGGCCACTACAAGCAGCAGCCCAGCTTGAGTTCGGCCAGATGAAATATTCCATGCTGAAATGGTGCTCTGCAGAGGCATAAGAATAACAGCCTGAACAGGCTGCTGCAGTAAGGGCTGATGCACGCAAGCACAGAGGCTCCAATAGGCTCCTGGTCCAGAGACTGAGCAGGGGCTGTGAGAGAGCTATTTCCAGCCAAACCATCACTCTGAGCTGACAACATGGAATATGACAGGGAGCAAAATTAAGTTCCAGCTTGATTTCATGAAAGACTTTAAAGTAGTATCTCGGGTTTAACTCCAGCTCAGGAGAACAAAACAGACCAAGCCTTTGTTTTGAATTTGGTATCTTTCAAGCAACAGTGAATAAAATAAGGTTGTCCTGCAGAAGGTTCCCCCCTTGGGGTGCTGACCTTCAGTTTCACATCATCAAGGCCACAGCTTCCCTTACTTCTTCCCAGTGGGAAGTGGGTCTATGGGCAGCCTCCTCCAAGGCAGGGTCGGAATGCTCCTCATTCCTCCCCAGCTCTGCTAGAACTTGCTGAATGACCTTGGCTATGCCCATAACTTATTTTCTGGGTTAATAAGTACCTTACAGGAGCACTGAAAGAAACATTTAGACCTCTGCATGACCTGTGGAAGAAAGCTCTGCAGTGCACAGTGTTCATGTTTATAGATGTGGAAGCCCAAACGACAGGCTGTCAGATCAAGCCCATCTTTAAGCATGTGGTTGATCTCCTCTGGTGCCAGTATACAAATGTGGGCAGTATCATGATGAGACAGGTCTCATTTACATTTAGGCTTTAGGCAGCTTCTCCAACTAAGAGGGCTGCAAAGCCAGATTTCCTGCAAAAAGCATCTACTCACAGCTAAACTAGCCTACACAGACTACTGGGAGATATTCCAAGAGGTCTCCTGCCTCAGCAAGTGAAGGCCAAGAAACATTGGTCCCCTGTCTCATTGCCATTCAGCAGAGCAACTTGCAGCTCAGTCACATTTGTAGTGGATTTGTAAATAGCTGGAAGAAAGGAGCTGTGATCAAACACATTGTGTAAGTCTCATTAGGATTAAGAAATTCCATCTCTTTACACTCTTTGGATGAGACAAGGGAGCCCACCTTGTTTCTAAAAAACAAACAGTGGGCAATACCTTTAGATGTAGAGAGGAGTGGGAGAGAAGTAAGGGTGCAGAAAGTGAAGCACAAGAGAAAAGAAATACCTGCAGAACAGGAGCACTGGAGCACAGTGGTGAAGAAGAGCATGAAGAAGGCTGTCCAGGGCTCATGGGAGGAAAGCATCATGCCAGAGGTCCAGCTTCTGCTGAGCAGCTGCAAGGATCAGCATGCCAATTCTGGCAGCAATGGTTCAGCAAATCCTAGATACACTGCATGCAGGGCAGAGGGTGGAGCAAAGAAGCTTCCTGCTGCCAGGACACCTTGAACCTCCCTACCACAACAGGATGAGGAAGTAGAAAGGCTCTGACCACAACAGCCCTGAAAAGTGGTGGCTATGAGTACCAGTGCAGCTGTAGGGCCCCTGAAGGTCAAACCTGAGAATTTCACCCCTGGACCTACTGCAGCCTGAGGGAAGAAAGGCCTCTGGAGCCAGCCCTGCCAGCGGGATCCTCAGGCAGCTGCTGTCCTCCTAGTCTCCTTTTGATCCTGCAAACAAGGGTTGAAAGTGGTGGGAGGCACTGAGCATCATCAGGACAGGGAATTTGTTTTCCTATGGCTCTGATTTGGCGTGCTGAATTGATTCTACCCCAGTCAAGCTGCCTGGCAGCAATGATTCTTTGGAAGATCTGTATGGAAGCCTACAGAAGCAATCTGGTCCCACTTGTAGAGCAAATGCTAAGTTAACAGAGGATATGGACACTTTTCCATCAAAAATGGGCTGAAACCAACTGCTCTGTGTAGACTACCAGCATCTATCACTCAGTAACAACATCCTTACCTTAACTATCTGAGAGGTGATAGGTTGGATTACTGCTTCAGGCTATGGAGCTCTCTGCTAAGGAGAAGCCCCCACCATCCTCACCTCATAAGTGCAGTTGAGTCACTGCCTCCACTGCCCTCAGATGATGCTGAAAGAGCTTTTACTTCTCCTCCTGTAGTAATGCCACCTTCTTGCTATCACAGCACAGCTCCATCTGTAAGAAAAAAACACGCTACCAAAGTACTTGTGGTATTGCCTTGGTCTGATGGGCACCACACATTGCTGCAGTTCCCCAGACTCTTGGCTGTGCTGCTCCTATTGTTACTCATCATGATGTCCTAGAATCATAGAATCACATAATGGCTTGGGTTGGAAGGGACCTTAAAGACCATTGAGCTCTAACCCACTGCCATGGGCAGGGTTGCCACCCACCAGATCAGGCTGCCCATTCATGTCCTTCCTAAAGAAAGCTTCAGGGAATAAATCAGGGAGAAACCATAGCAAGAGGTGGGCTGCACAGGTTGTTGTGCTTCTCAGTAGTGGCCCCCAGTGATTTTAGGTGCTGATCATAGAATCAAAGAATTCTAAGAGTTGGAAGGGACCTCTGGAGGCCATCTAATCCAACTCCCGTGCAATGAATGGGGACACCACAGATCAGGTTGCCCAGGGCCTTATTCAGCCTCACCTTGAAAGTCTCCAGGGGCATAGCATCAACCACATCACTGGGTGACCTGTGTGAAGATGAATTTATTTGGGGTGCGCAGCCATCGTGTCTCCATGTTTCCGTGGGGTGAGCCAGCCCAAGGGGAGGCAGAAGCATGTGTACTTTGCATAGCTCCATTCCCAGGTATCAGGGTGGGTATCCCTCACTTCCAGCTGTGGCCACCTCTGTGTAGTGCCACCTCCATCCCCCAGCCTGCCCTTCTCATGCCCCAAGCATGCTCTGCTCCCTATCAGCACCTTGCAAAGCATTCCCCTGGACAAAGGCCTAACTCAGCTGCAGAACAAGGCAGGGCAGCTGAAAAGGACATGAACATCGTCCTTGTCCCCCTGTTGTGTCAACACAGCACCAGGTATGGAGGAGTCACAGCTGCCACCAGCCAGTCTGTGGCAGCTGCCTCCCAGTACCACGGGTCCTGTCCTTTAACTGGTGACCAGGAGTGGCCGTGATGTGTCCCACTGGGCCAGTAGCATGTCCTGCTCAGCTGGCATCATGCTGAATGCGTGACCCCAGTGCTGGTGGCCCTTGGCATAGATAAGCACATGTTACGGCAAGAAACACAGTGTAAAAACACTCCTATTGCTCAGGGTTGCTTGGAGGTGGCCTGTAGGACATCACCATATCTGCTCGGTTCTGTGCCTAAGTCCCTTCCTGACAATTTTCTCTGATTTGTGCTTTTATCTGAGCATGCTGTTGCATCAAAGCTAAGCAAAAGCCCCACTCTCTGCTGGGAAGGCAGGTCTGCTTGCTTCCAGCTCCACCTGTCCCTCCTGAATCTCTCAACCATAGCTCCTGCTGAAAGTCGACCTGGCAGTTAATTTTGCAGAAATAATGAGCACCAAAGCGTTCTGTGCAGAACAGAATGTTTAAGGGGAAATTAAAGATGAAACAGCCCTGCTATTACAAGAATGAATGGCGTATCTTTTGAATTTTAACTCTTACCAGTCTACTCTGCGTCAGCTTGCAGGTAAACATGTCCACTTTGAGGGATGCTGAAAATGCTTTCCACAGCTAACGTAATGTATTTCTTTTCCTCTCCAATGTTTGCTTCCTCTGTAGTTCTCAGAAGGGGCTTGCTCCGAAGTCTTCTGAAGCAGAGAAAAGGCTGTGTTTGGCTTCAGTGACTTTTGGATAGGACTGGAAATGAAGGCTTAGCTTGATAAGTTCAGGCACAACAAGAGCTCTAGGAAATCATCTTCTGACACAGATTTGGATTTGTTTCATTTCTTATTTCATACTTCAGTGCTGTGACTGTCCACAGAGTGACAAGGCTCTCCAAAGCTTTCCCTCACTTGCTTCCTATGCTCTTGTGCACGTGCACTTCACAAGATATGCCTTTGCTTTACTTACTTTATTATGTACTTCCACTCCTCTCCCCTAGAGACTGTTGCACAGTATGTAGGGCTGCTGGTCTGCTTTCCCAATCACTATTAAGGAGACAATGCATACTAAACTAATTGTATGTGAAAGAATTTCTTTACTGTCAGGGTGATGGAGCACTTTTACACATTGCCCAGAGAGGTTGTGGAGTCTCCTTCTGTGGAGATATTCAAGACTTTGAATATCTAGGTTTGGATACCTGCCTGTGCAACCTATTATACGGTACCTGCTTTGGCAGGGAGTTGGACCCAAGTTGGATCTCTTGTGGTTCCTTCCAACCCCTGCAATTCTGTGATTCTGTGTTTTGTTCCAGAATGAAGTTTCTTTGCTGAACAAGATTATACCCCTGGCACATCACCACTGGGTGTGGTTCTCAGGAAGTTATTACCTTTATCACTCATATACACATCCTCACTCTGTCTATAAATATATTTCCTGTTTGTATATGCAGCATGTTTATATTTGGTGTTCCGAGTGAAATCTTATTGCTGCTGCAACCCTGTTGTCTCCCTGAAGTGACCAACATGCCAGGAACTGAGCAGTATCTCTGTGTTTAACAAAGAGCAAAAACACACAACCTGTGAGCACAGCAGACCAGATGGACCATTTCTAGGCATGTAAATGGTACAAGGACAAATCCCTTCTTTGTGTAAGACACTTGCGACCAGCTTAACTTCACCCTGCTCTGGTTTCTTCATACCCATGGGACTGGCACTGAGCTGCATCAGGAGATGGTCAGGTAGGGGTTAGCAACAGGCTCTGCACCAGAAGGTGGTTGGGCACTGGAAAAGGTTCCCCAGAGTAGTGGATACAGCTAAGAGCTGCTGGAGTTCAAGGGTCCTTCAGATAGTACTCTCAGACATATGTCTGATTTTTGAGTGGTGCTGTGTGGAGCCAGGAGTTGGACTTGATGGTTCTTGTGTGTCCCTTCCAACTCAGGATATTCTGTGATTCTACCTGAAGTGCTACTCTGGTTAGCTGCTGCAATAGGAGGTAGCTTGGGTGAAGGAAAGCTCACAAATTAATGACCAGCATAGCCACACAAAGCCTCCTGCAAGATGGTGCTAAGCATGGAGAGGTAATGTCTGAGATGCTGATCCTGGAGACACCTACAGCTGCATGAAATTCTCCTGGCAGATGAAAATTATGACATCCCCACTGTAGTCTATAATGGATCTCCCTTAGCTTTACATATGGACAGACTGGAGTTGAGGGCTGGTTGACACTTTCCAGCTGACAATTCTCAACCTATGGAAGGGATCGTGGTACAATCAGCCAAAGAGTAGACTTGGTGGTATGTGCAGATCTATCTTTCATACTTGCTTCGTAGCCAGCACAATCTCCAGGCACAGCTCTAGAAAAGATGTCTACTTGGAGGGCATGGTACTGTGGGCTGAGCTCCCACCCCAGTAGTCTTCATAAAGCCTTCAAAACGTGGCTTCAAATGGCTTGTAAACTTAAACAGATGAATCCAATGCCACTACTGTGTCTATTTGAGAGGGTTGTTCTGGTTACTGTCTTCACTGACGTGAGGAATGGCTATCTCAGCTAAAACTATTTGTGAACAGCAGTTTAAATGATAGAACTGGACAAAGAGGGGAAAAAAGTCCAAGCCTCCAAATTTTTATTATTTAAATAAAAGAAGGGGATCTGCTTTCTGTATGCACAGAGAAAAACAACCGCAGCAACTTGCACTTGGCTGTACCCTTTGTGCTTCTCAGCCCTGGCTGGTGTTGCTATCAGATAAATGCTGAGCCCATGGCCCTGCTGTGCCCCCATACTGTCCTAAGAGCAGCTGCCCTCAGCCAGCCTGGCAGCCAGGAAAGGCAACAAGCCCACTGCTGGGGCCAGAGCCTCCCCCGGCTCTTGTGCCTCTCACCAGCATCCGCTGCTTTGCCTGCTGCCAGTGGCAATAATGTGGTCTCTGATAATGAGATTATTATCAAATAATGTTCCTACTGCTCAGTGCCAAAGGCATGAAAAAAGAGATGTTTTCTGCTGCTCTCCTCTGCATACAAAGAGGGGGAAAAGGACAGGAGAGAGCCTTATCCCTGTGCCCTGTGTTCTCTTGCCGCTCAGCCAACCGGATCACATGGCCAGGGTAGTACAGCTTGCTCTTATGGGTTTTATACATTCATTTTGGGTCACTCTGCTTGAGGCAGCATGTTTTGGAAAGCAGCACGGCCCCTCTCCCAGCAGCTGGCCTAGTGGGCAGAGCCACTCCTTGCTACTTTGGAATGGAAAGCTCTGTGTTAGAAAACTCGCTATTGTTCGCAGCCAGCAGAATTGTTCCCTTGGACACACTGTACCCTGCTTGTGG